GTCCTCGTGGGACTGAAATTCTTGTGCCTGGACTGTAGTGACGACGAAATAATCGCGTTTGGAGATAATGATGGTGCCTTAGGTAGCTATATTAGTCTCCGGAGCGAAAACCAGTTCGTCAAGGGTTGCTTGAGAGTTTTCTCCTTGTGGGAAGAACGAAGTTTTCCTCTAGTGTGGTTTGAAAGGGTAGCTTCTCACTCTAATATAGCTGACGGGCCATCGCGCCTGGATATGACCTTGCTGGATTTGCACGCAGGATGTGAACTGATTGAGGTCTCGTTGCACAGCTTGCTGGAAGAGACGCTGTCTCAGATCCACGCAGGATGAATGGGGAACGCCCAAAGCTATGGGGATGTGTCGGGGGCGATAGCAAAAGCATCCAACAAAGCCTTGAGCCCGTAGAGGCCTTTTCGTATGTGTGCCGGATGAAGACTGACGACTTCCCCCACTGAACTTGGAGGAAAAAAAGACAGCGCGATCTGAGACTGTGATTCTGTGCAGTTTGAGTTTTCACGCGCAGCTGTCTTGTTAATATGTTTAAGATAAAGGGGTGTGAACGTGACGACGCTTTGTTTAAGTAACCTGAAATCTCTGTAACTTCCTATGTTCCCTCTATCCTACTTGTGCTCGGATGTTTTCTTTCTTGTGGCGGAAGTTTCGGAAGTTGATAAGGAGGAACTCACTGAAAGTGATGGAGCCTTATCTACGACGAAAATTTAAAATTTTGATTTTGTGGGATGCACTCCCAAAAACAAAATTTATGCCACAAAGAAAGTTAAACAACCTGTATATAAAGCTGCTGGATATGTAAACGACCTTCTCTATTTAACACCTAAACGGTTTGTGCTTCTTCAATGTCAGTTTGCACTTCGACAGATGTGGATGTGTTAAATCTCCTTTGTAATATCGGCTCTAGGGAGAGGTGGGCGGGAAACTTCCCGTTTTATTCAGGCAGCACAAAGAACAAAGCCCACCCACATCCACCCTTGTTCTTTATCCAACATGAATGCACCTCTTGTTGCTTTATTCGAACAACTCCGCCTTCATTGGTGCACCTACTTGTCTTGAGCGCTCTTCTTTTGGCCCTGGATGAAGCCGATGATAGCCTTCATGACATCCATTGGGATGCACGTGATCTGATACACATTCGTCCACACATTATCGCTTTGCAACAGCGCCTGCAGTTTCAGATCCATCGATTACATTTTCGCATAATTTTCCAGATCACCAACCAAACTTTGCCTTGAGTTCGCAGAGGCTTTTCGTCCAATATAGCCTTGAGCCCGCAGAGAAGACTGACGACGATAGCAAAAGCGTCCAACAAAGCCTTGAGCCCGCAGAGGCCTTTTCGTATGTGTGCCGGGATGTGTCGGGGGCGATAGCAAAAGCATCCAACAAAGCCTTGAGCCCGTAGAGGCCTTTTCGTATGTGTGCCGGATGAAGACTGACGACTTCCCCCACTGAACTTGGAGGAAAAAAGGACAGCGCGATCTGAGACTGTGATTCTGTGCAGTTTGAGTTTTCATGCGCAGCTGTCTTGTTAATATGTTTAAGATAAAGGGGTGTGAACGTGACGACGCTTTGTTTAAGTAACCTGAAATCTCTGTAACTTCCTATGTTCCCTCTATCCTACTTGTGCTCGGATGTTTTCTTTCTTGTGGCGGAAGTTTCGGAAGTTGATAAGGAAGAAAGCATGAGCTTGATGGCGTTGTTCGCACGGGTGCCAACGTGCGCCAACCCGGCGGATGCGCCCTCCCGTGGTGAAGTGGCTCACCTTGATGGAGTCGTCCGATTGCCGGACGACGTTGTGTGTGATTGCGCAAGTCGTTTGATGACGGCCATGCTCGAACGAGCGAAGGCGCCCGTACTTGAGAAAGGGGGAAAGAGGACGGCCTCGTGAGACTCCCCAATGTTGTTTGAAGAAAAAGGAGCGATCACTTGAGCACAAACGAAACGACAGATGTGTCAGTTCTCATAGCAGTGGAACTATGTTTTGCACAGTGAGCATTGTTTGCACATGTCCCTTGCCTTAGTCGTTCAAAAGCACATTAATGAATGTCTTGAAGATAAATAGGCAACTCGCACGAATAGCCCACTGTAAGGTAGCAATAAAATGTAAGTCAGCTTGCTGATGCATTCTTATTGCAACGTCAGCCTTTCGCAAAATAAAATACAGTTAATGGAAACTTTTACCAGAACATTTGTATGCATTGACAGGGTTGTACCATGACGACTTGAACCATCGATGTCTCGTCACTTTTTTTTTGAGCCCTGTCGTTCGAGCCCGAGCATGTTCGATCCAACTTCCGCCTACAGGCTCAGAAATCGGTTGCATTGGCAAGTGATTGCACCACGATAATGTTCACATGCACTGGCATGATGTTGTCATAGACTTACTTGACATGACATTTGTTTCTTTGCCCGCCCTCCACTCCCTGTGGAGGCCACTTCGTGCCCTCTTCATACTGCAGATCCCGGCCTTCGATGCTTCCTGCATCGGCCTGTGTTCGTTCATGCTGCCTAACCCAGCCGTCGAAAGAGGACGGCCTCGTGAGACTCCCCAATGTTGTTTGAAGAAAAAAGGAGCGATCACTTGAGCACAAACGAAACGACAGATGTGTCAGTTCTCATAGCAGTGGAACTATGTTTTGCACAGTGAGCATTGTTTGCACATGTCCCTTGCCTTAGTCGTTCAAAAGCACATTAATGAATGTCTTGAAGATAAATAGGCAACTCGCACGAATAGCCCACTGTAAGGTAGCAATAAACCTTCCTGCTGTGCTCCTCGTTGCAAGAGGTGCACACCCCACTAGTCTTTATTCTATATTGCCCACCGAGCCTTCTTCGAATGTGGACGACTCAGTCAGTTTATAAAAATGGAAGAGAAAAACACATGGAGAGGGGCCCTATGCCGAATGTGACACTCGACCTGTGTGACAAGTTTCGCATGCCAGAGTGGATCAACCTCCTCCCGCTGAATCAAGGAAGCAGTCAGACCTTCAATTCCGTCGAATTTGACGATGAGCTACGTAGGAACCTGCACTAACAACTCGCTAGCCCGTCACAGGTTTGATGGTGGCCCATTAGTGAAGTTTTGGTTGTTGCCATGGTGAGACTTAAGCTCTTGGGAACTGTGTATTGGAACGCTTTCTTTGGTATCGTTTTGGTATCGAGGTCCGTGTTTCCACGGTAGAATTGATCAAAGGAATTCGCGTTAGTATCAGCTTGGTACCGATGTCCGTGCTTCCACGGTGTGCAGGGAGCTCGTGGACCCCTATAGGTCCATTTCTTCTTCATGTGTGGGGTGCGCCTTCACCAAGTAGACCTTGTAGAGGTAGTCCTGTATTCCTCTTACTGCCCGTGTTGTCGCTGATTTCCCCTTTCCTCCTCCTTGCCTTTCCTGTTGGCGAACTCCTCATCCGAGGGTCTGGTCATTACTTGCTTCCATGCTGCTTCAATGCCATTCTCTGCCATGGTGAAGATATCCTCACGGATCAGCATCTTCGCGGTGCCCTCCGCGTCGTCGAACACACACACACACACACACACACTTGAGTAGATTACCTTCATCATTGCAAACCACATGGGCCGCCCAGTTCTTGTACAGGTCGCGGGTTTGGTTGTAGTAAACGCAGCTGGGGGTATCGTTGAGAACTTAAAGGAAGGCCTTCAGTGGTATGCTTTTGAAGCGGTCGTGCAAATCTGTTGGCGGATTTGCAAGTGGAAAGGTCGGCCGTTGCTGTGTTGTGGTACTGTGTTGTTCTCTTCCCAGTAAGGGAGCGGGTTTCTTCCTGAGGCTATTTTCTTCGCAGTCTCGAGGAACTTCTTGGTGGACCAAACGCTGCGGAACTGTAGGATTGTGATCCTGGACATTGATTCTTCCTGTACTCGGTGCGATGCATGAACGAACTCACGGTTCGGGATGTTGGCACGGCTAACAAGCCACTCAAAGACCCTGTCTCTGTGTTGCTCTTGTGTGTGCGGAGGCCAGTTTGTAATGATGGTTTGGGTGCTTGCTTCTTTCCTCGCCTGAACGGCGTCTCTTTGCATCAGATATCCTTGTTGTTTCTGAATTTGCTTCATGCCACTGAATAGTTTGCTGGTATCATTCGACAGGTCATTGATGTCCTGTTCTGCTGCACGGAGGCGTTGGTCTCCGGCGTAGGTTCCTGTTGTAGTGCTTGCTCTTGAGGTCAATGATCTGGCTTCTGAATGTGTTCTGACTGTCTCTTTTCGTGCGGGTGAGCTCTGGATAATGCTCTCTGTGTGTGGCCGATGTGGTGTGTTACTGATTTGGCTTCTCGAGTGTTCCAGCAATGGAGGAGGAGCTCAGCTCCAGCAATGAAGGAGGAGCGCGGAAAACAATTTAGCAGTCAAGAGACACGCACAGAGAAAAGTGTACATGTACTGTCGAGGCCCCTTCAGTTCATGAAAATGTTTGCAATTACACTTTCTTTGAATGATTCGGACAGAAAAACTAGGAAAACATCATCCAAGCCGTCATATGACCATAATATCAAGTCACAAAAAACAAATTTAAAGAACAAACCTTATCAACAAATCAATGATTTTCCACCTGTTTTTCCAGGGTTCGCCTGCGCTGGGAGTGTCGCCACGAAGTGCTCCAAACTAAAATATGAAGATACTCATGGTGAACGTTCACTGTAGAAATGTGGGCTGCGAACTCAAACACTGCGCCCAAGCCACACTCATTGACCTCAAGCCAGGCACAAATGATTGTGGTCATCAATGCATGAAACCACTGGGCCCTTTAACATCCACAGAACCGCTTTGTAGACGTGTTGTTCACTGGCGATTGGTTACAAGTAGCCAAGCCAGTAGCCAAGCCAATGGATCCCAAGTTTCCAGCCACTTTGAGTGAAACTAGTCCAGTCCAAACAATGGGGAATTGTTAGGGCCCTGCGGGACGCTTCTCCGAGTCCAGATTCAACACCACCAGCACCGAAAGAGTCCACCCAGCGACAAATTTAAAAAGAACTGATTTCTTTTGGCCGCTGAAGCGAAGCGTGCCACGGAATGGGTTCTGTCGGGGTCTCAGCTGCGAGCCGAATGCGTTGGATGAGCCAGGGCCGCTGGGAACTGAACGGACACTTTTTAACTTGTTGAGTCCCTGGTGTGTTGGACTATTTCACGGCATTCGATTTGCTTTCGAAGCGTTCAATAACACATGCATCATTGACATTCCAATTTGGTGTAGCTCCTAGCCGTTAGATCGTATATTGGATGGGGTGGCCTTGAAGTGTCACCACTATATTGAAAACACATGGATTTACAGCCGCTACGAAACAACATGAGAATGACAGAGCGGCGACTGCCAATTCGAGAACCAAAGGTCGTACATGTAAAAAAATATTGCTTTCTGGATTTGGCAGCTTAGCCTGTCTCGCACAAAAGTGCGAATCTTCTTGGATCATCGACAGTGGTTGGCCTTTTGCAACGAAAGCTGCTGTAGGGGACCTGTTGGCCCAAGAAATCATATCCTCAATCTCCAACAGGTCCCCACCTGCGACATTTAAGTATATTTAAGTCTTCAAACCGGTAGAGCACACGTGTTGGAGGGCACTTTTGTGGGGCAGTTCCCCAAACGAATCGATCTATTTGATGGTAATTAGTGACCCTCGAACAAGAGAACATGCCCATGATTCCATAATTGACAGACTCATGCTTTCCACTCAATTTTTCAAGTGCATGCATTCAAATATTGATTTCTGCAAGGCCCTCAGAGAGGGTGGGTTGGCTTTTTTTTTTGTAAAAGCTGCCTTTGTGACTGGATGTTAATGATGCGAAACGGCGTTGATGCATTTCTTACATCACCTGCAATCACTTAAATGTGGAAGGCATGTTCTCGTTCAACCTCACCCTCAATGAAACTGTAAATATTTTGGAGGAGACCTTAAGACGTTCAGTAGGAAAGCTACTAGAAACAACTGCATCGCTTCTAGTAATAAGTGCCTTACTAGGAACAAGTGCATCGCTACTAGTAACAAGTGCCTTACTAGTAGCGATGCACTTGTTCCTAATAGCTTATTGTTACTACTAGTAAGGCACTTGTTACTAGAAGCGATGCATTTGTTTCTAGTAGCTTTCCTACTGAACGTCTTAAGGTCTCGTCCATTCTACCTTTGTGGCGAACTTTGTTCGGTGAGGCCGCCAAGAACTTGGCATTACCCGCGGTCCTTGAGGCGCTGGTCCTGGGGTTTGGGGTGTTTAAACATTCTTTCCGAGGGATCGAGGAGCTAAAGCCAAGGATTGTTGTTGCACCTTTTTTTTTGCTACTGCAAAAAACATCCAGTCGTTGAGGTGACATGCTAAAAACCCTTTAAGGGCAAAATAGACATACAGATGCTGCACAAGGCTCCTAGGAATGCGACCAAAGCGACGGATTTCCTCTGCCCGCGATCAAGATGGATGCAGGCCTTGGCTGGAGTCTTCATGATCCTGCGAGCACAGAAATTCGAGTTCAGACATGATGAGGAGCTGGGTTCCAGCACGACCTGTTTCAATACCTTCAAAGTACTTCGCCACGCTTTCATCGGGTTATGATCTTTCATGTTTGCGAGCGGCCTGCCCAAACTGTCAAGCAAACTGGAGATGGTCGTATGATCCTTCTTGCACCAAGACATGCCTTTAGGGAGGAGCATCTTTGGGACGAGTTCGATGGAGGGAGGGACCTCCTGGCTATTCTTTGATTTCTTTGCAGTCTTAATCTAACTTTAGATTCACCTCAAAACAGATGATTCTTGTGGCTTCGTCACTGCCTTTTCCTTTTTGCCGTGACCCAAGTGAGCTGGGGAGCTGATGGGGGGTTTGACCTAGAAAGAGACGGGCAATGTTCCTGAAGTTCTCCCAAAAGTCGTTCAGTAGTCGAATCTTTGAATCGAACATTAGTTTCTTACACTACTAGTGATGGCCTCCAACCTAAGAGCGATGGCCTCCAACCTATATAATAGCCGTTTCAGAAATCAGAGTAGAGAAGTAGCCATCAAAGTGACTGTAGAGTAGACAGAGTAAGAGCCAGGAAGAGGTACTACTTCAGATCGGTGTAGGGGAAACGATCAGGATGGCACCGGTGCAGCGCTGGTTGGGATTGGTGCGATCGTGTTTGCCCAGGCGAGGTTGGGCGTGAGGGCGCGGAGGATTCGATTGAGTGATGGTGCATATTGTCCGCAACGCATCAACGCATCATCCACATCATGTCCGTAACGTATCAGCTCATCATCATCATCATCATCATCATCATCGTCATCATCATCAGCGAAGGGGATCATCTGCATCCCACCTGACCATGTTGGGTCATCGGACAGGTTGCCTTTCGGGCAGACCCCCCCCGTTGACCCAACATGCATTTTTGACAACTACAAGCCAACATGGTGGAAGGGGCAAGAAGAACTGTCCAGAGGAGATCTGTTTAAAGAAGAGACCCTTACATGCTTGGACTTAAGATCTTGCTGAGAGGCCTGAATCAAGTTACGGAACCTTCTTCCAAGTTCCTGGGAAAGTTTATGAAGGGCCCTGCAGACATTTCAATCATTTCAACTGGTATGCTGAGCAATACCGAACCTTTTCAGGTGCAGGAAGGGTTGCCTCTTGCAGCACTTTCGCAGCGGATGTGGCTGGAGTGAGTGTTTTTAGTGTCTTTTGTCAAGTGTATCACATTTGTAGATCTGTGTTGACCAGCTCCGACATTCCTATTCCTGACTCATTTTAAGCGGTTCCGTCCTTTGAGCCCAGACTGCATTTGCGGGGTGGACGGAATTTGTCGCTGGATTGTCAGTCTGGAGCATCCCCCTGCAGTTCTGTTTCTTGGCTTGGGTTGCTTGGGTGTGATATACAATTCTTGGACAAATGGAATTTAACATGCGCATCTCCGAATCGGGAACGATCTGTTGGAACTTCTTCACCGGACATACGCAGCCCTGCTCCCAGTTTGATGTCTGACAGCAACTTCTTAGAAGAGTATGAAGATTTTTCTTCAACACGCTTTTCCACTGTTTGAGCAGGGTGAACAACACGTTTGCATTGTTTTGAATGCAAAGTATGGACAAAGAGCTTGAAAGAGCCCTGGGAAGAGGAAATGAATGGAGGCTGTTTCCCCGACGTGACGCACGTTCAGACGTGTTTGAGTCGTCAGTCGATGATGGTCTTCAGTGCGAATCCCCGGCGCGTGCCAAAGGCACGGCCTGTTGGGCTGGCCGAGAACCGTCCCAGGGCTTGAAGGAACCTAAGCAACTCGTTTAGTGAAAGAGTCCGTGATTTATGGTGGTTATGGGATGATGAAGGCACTTCAATTAATTGGTTGTGGCATCTTGGGAGGATGCTGAAGGTAGCAAGAGGTACCTGGAGCGCCTGGCCCGCACCAATCATTCCCCAAGCAAAGTAACTTTTGCATCACTAGTGCTGGTAAAGGTTTTCTATTCCCGCAAGTTGGTTGTCTCTCTCCATCGAACAAAGGTGCCGTCTGCCACGGACAGGGAGCCTTGATCGCCTTCAAGGTGCCTACACGTTTGTGGGATGTGGTTGATGGGCAAAGATGACACAAGTCCCATGCTTTGAAAGAAGGGGTCACCCAGTTTCTGCAAGTTTTCTGCTCTAGACTGTGTAGAAGAACTAGCTAGGTTGTTCCTGGGAAGGGTAGGGGTTGATGGGCAACATGTACGTTCCCCCGAACCTTCCAAGTCCATGAAAGAAAGATGAAGGCCCTAGTATGTCATGTTAAGAGTGGGTGTTACGGAACACCCATTGAATCAACAGTTGTTGGAAAGATATCAGTATTAACATTGTCACAACTACCAAAGCTGGATTATTTTTTGCCAAGTGCATCGGGGGCGATGATTAAGCTTCGACCCTTCACAACAGTCCAAGGAAGGAGGCGATGTATCCAAGAAAGGACGGTTTTGTTTGCGGACGTTTTAGGATTCTGATCAAGCTTTTGGAACAGAAGACAGCTTTCAGAACTTTCAGAATTTTCTTCATGATTCTGTGATTGCTGGATACGCGGGCCCCATTGAGGTTTTCATCCTTTTCATCCAGGTAGTCGTCAGGTCTCATCGGGTGCATCCAGGTGATGAACAGTGATGAACACTTCCCAATGGCCTCCACCCTAGTAGTGGTTCTCCGTCCACGTTCGCCTGAGGCGGTGCTGTCACTTTGTGCGGTCTACGCAGTGGTGACCACCGCGACGGAGCGCAAGCGTGCGTGGGCAGAATGGCAGGGAGCACTCAGGTGGGTGGGATGGATGGGACACCTCAAACTCGCAGGAGTCCCATCAACAAAAAATTCCAGGCTTCGAAGCACAGAGCGACATGTGGCTGTTTAGAAAGTGTGGTGCGATTCTGCGGGACATTGAAGTTGGGATACTTACAATGAGAAGAGCTGGTCGGTTAGCTTGTTTCGCGTTCGCTGAAATTGGTTCGCGCGAAGCGAAAAGCGTGCTGGGAGAACTGGGCGCATCAAAGTTTCGTGTGGCCATGTTGGTTTGTTTGGCATGACCCCATTTCTGGCCGGAAAGCACAGAAAAAGGTGGCACCTATGCCACTCTTTGTGGCAGCCGCAGATTGTGAGAATAGAATTATGTCATTCGAGTTTTCTTGCCCATGTTGTGGGAAGCTCTACGCTGAAGCCATCTTCAATGATCAGAGCCCGCCTCTTATCAACCTTGAGCCTGGATTAGTTCGATGGCCCTGTTGGCACACCAACAGTTCCAGCACATGACTGCATCTTGTGTTTGGGCAGTCATGCAGATTGGAGTGAGGCAGCGCGAAAGTTGGCCAACTTTGATGGCTCAAGGTGATGTCCTTCACCCGTGGCGGCTTGGCAAGGTTCGCATTTACCATCGGGCAATTTTGGTGATCGCCGACAAGTGTGGGCATCTTCTCTCCGGCCCAAGCAGCAAAGTACACACTGCACTCTCTCTCTCTCTCTGAAAGTCAGGAGCCTGTCGCAGACCTTGCAACTATGATTGATAACCTTCAAGTATTCAAGAGATGATCCACAAGGGTGGGTCCAGTTACTCCGCAACAAAGGGGCGGGGTGCCGCCGATTTGTGAAATTGCTGTGTGCTTGGACTTCGAAGCGGGCGCCGCTTGGAGCCAAGCCTTTCAATAGGTTGACTGTTCGGGCAGGGAGGTAAATGGAGACAGAGGCAAATGATTCCACCCTATTCGGACAGCATGTCTGATGTGGGTTGATGTGGGTTCTGATCGGGGATGCGATTCATAAACTTGTTGAAGGCTTGCTCTCAGTGAATAAGTTCGAATTCTATCATCACGTACCGGTGGAATTAGAGCCACACCTCGAGTGCAAACCAGATCTTTCAGATTCTTTCAGCAGTTTTGGCTAAAACAACGCAAGGATTGGGCTCGTTTCCTGACATTGGAACCCCACTGTGGCCTCAAGATACTATAATTGTAATTATGACAAATGATCGCATTAAAGCTGCGAGTGATAAATCTGTTTTGACGCAGCCGATGCGTTCGCCTTGGGTATGCCAGACATGTGGGGGTTCCGGGCCAATCTTCACTGGGTCAATTGGTTTGTTGCCGCAGGAGGCGCTCTTGATTGCGAAGTGTCCGCACAACATTACATTGAATCAAAACGCTGACCAACATGGAGTTGTTGGAACCCTGCAAGGGGATTGTCGCTTGCACTCATGAGCTTATAGGTGCAGTTAATGTTCTCTCGCATGCCCCCAACAGATGGCATCATGCACCCCATATATGGGATGCCTTTTTGAGTCCGACAACTAGACCTTCCCACGGATAAAAAAGGGCACCCCCAAGCAACTCAAAACCTTCCGCCTCCAACGCTTGCTGTTCTCTCTCCTACCCTCAACAGATGGCATCATGCACCGCATATGGGGTGCCCTTTTGGACCGAATGAATGATCCTCAAAGAGCCGGCTATCCTATCTATTTGGGACCCAGAGTTCTCGGTGTCGCAACTAGAACTCAACATTTGAACTCATTGTGCTGTGGAATGCCAGACAGGGGACAGACAGGAGGGTGCCTGGTTGCTTGGGTGGGGTGGCCTGTTTTGCTTTGGCGCTTGCGCCCTTGTGCCCTACAAACAGGTGCTGCTTGCCTGGTATATAGTTCCTTGCTAGTGTTCCAGTTGGATAAGGCAGGTTCGCCTGCAATCCAAAAACATGGGAGTTCTTCAACTGCACTCACATGATGGAGGAAGCCTGTAATCTTTCGACCCCTTTGTGGTGGTTCGGCACTGGTATGTAGATATCATTCCAGCGAGACCTCCTCCATGTGTCAAAGCGACGAGGTTCGTTTTCCTGGCTTACTCCATCTCTTCGTCAGGGCCCTAGGCCAGCAGCTTTGGACTTGGAGCCGCTCGGGAGACGATTAGGACGAACCTGGTTGTGGTTTGACACAATCTTTTGCTCACGTCAGTTATAGACATAGACACCTGTGGAAGAAGGCCTTCGACACTCCCTTGGGCAGTAGACCCAGCAGAAAACCAACTCACTAGTTGGAGTCTGCCATGGACTCGGCACAGCCTGCAATCCCATCCATAGATGGAGTTCGATCATTCTTTCATTTTGACAGCCGGGACCCTCGGCTGCATATGTCTTCCAATCCCGAGGGTGCCGGTGTGCTTTATGATCTACGCAGCCGGGCTACATGGGAAGACGGAGGAGAAGAGGACGTCCGGGCACCGGTGCAGCTGTGGTGATGGGGGTTGAACAGTTTCGGAAAAAATCTCTTCCGGAACCTGCTTGGTGGCGACCTTGCCCCCAGGCCCACAAAACCCAGTTGGACTGAAGGAATCGAGGAGTTGGATTGTCAGGAATGAACTGATCCTATTCCCAAAGTTAGTTGAACATGGAACTGGACGAGAGCAACAAAGAGCAGAGCATCCACTATTGCAATCGGAAAAGCCTATTTCTCCTCTCCAGATACACAGCAACATGCAGCAACCACCTGCACATCCAAGAGAATCACTCAGGTGTTGTTTCCTTTTTCTTGGGCCCCAATGAAGAAGTCAGAACCAATTTGTTCTTTTCGTCAACTGGTAGACTGCTCAAACACTTTTGGACCTGGAAGTTGCCAACCCTGACTTGTCAACCATTCCTGGTAGAGAAAGTTTGAACAGGCCTGAACTGTGAAAGAACCAACATCAGACCAGTCAAATAGTTATTTTTTTAACCCTCAGCCATCTTCAAGCCCCGCGTGCGCTCCCGCCACTCCCTGACCGTGGCTGCTTCACCCTTTGGTCCATGAGGCTGGGCCAGATCTCTGCCAGTGAGAGAGCTGCTTTGCGTTGAGGGCGAATTGAGCAGAAACTAAGCCACCAAGGTTGTGGGAATCATTCAGTCCTCCAGGATCCTGGCAAAACCTCGATGAGCACCATGAACACCAGGATCTGGAAACTCGAAATCTTTTGCAACTCTTGAATCATAGAAGGTGGAACAGATCAGAAACCAGGAACATGCCCTGATAGACCTGATAGACTATTCTGTCTTGTTGGGATGCTCACTGGTTAGGGGAATGGAGCACATGATTTGCAGCCCGTTTCACCTGGTCGAATGATTGCTTTATGTGAGTCGAAGAAAACCTGAGCGTGTGGAGCAGCTCATGACTCATGCCGCTTTTGGGTCGGGCTGCGCTTGCGTGCGATGACGGAATGTGTGCGGCACTGAACGCTTTGACGAGGGCTGTGCGGCGGCAGTGTGCTGAGCTTGGCGATTTGCTGATCCAAGCGTCTCGAGCTTGCGCCAGCGACGACCTCCTTGTCTAACCAAACTGGAAGAGAAAGACATCCCGTGACATCCAGGAGATCTACTAGTAACAAGGAGCTAGTAGGTTGGAGGCCATCGCTACTAGGAACAAGAAGCTACTAGTAACAAGGGCATTACTAGCAGTTAAACCAAACTGGAAGAGAAGACGGACATCCTCTTCTCGACTGTCATTCTTGTCGCTAGTTTGTGGGGATCCTTTGATAACTTGGGTGGAAATCCTCCAAGGTTGGCCATCTGAGAGTGGCTTTGACACCCCCATTGACAACGCTCCATTCACGCAACCCCGTGTGCTCCTAGCAGCCCAGCACTTCAAAACACCGGGCCGCTGTCGATCTCAAGCTTTTTGTTTTTGAGTTTGTGAGCGAGCCAACGTTTTTCTGGGTTGTGTGAGCATCGAGTTTGGCAATGTACCTTTTCTGTAAACAGAATGATTGCGCATGGCAACCCAAGTAGCAAGTTGGCGTGTTGTGCGCGGTTGCTTCACCACTACAAGACGATTGCCAACAAACAACGCCGGCCAGTCAAGCTTTGCTGCAGTAGAGCAATTGAAGAGTATTCATGAGAACACAATGCAAAGTTCCTCATTTGCCCCCTTCCCCAAAAATCCAACAGCCACTCGGTACAGAATAATGCAAGCACTTGGGCTGCAAAACAGACTTGTTATCAGTTAGATTAGCGTCCTTGCTCCTAGTAGCGATGCCAGGAGCCCCTAGTAGCGTCCCTAGTAGCTCCTAGTAGGTTGAAACAAGTTGAAACAACGATCCCTTCATGGCCGACTTTGTGGATTACTATGAGTTGTCACGGGCCTAGTCGACGGGGCAATTCCGCTGAATTGAGGGCTCAGATCTTGCTACGACAACGTGCTTCAGTTTGATTTTCTTGATGTCGCAAGAAAAGGAATGCCATCTAAGTTTCGGTATGACATTTTGAGTCTTTTGATTTTGAGACTCGAACAGATCGTAAATGGTCCTTAAAAGCACTTGCAACAAGGCTTGGTTGTGCTCCAGATTCCACACTCGTGGCTCCTTGGAGCGTTGGCAAAATAGCCAGATTGCTGATGATTGCCGATTGTTTTGTCTCTTTCCAACAATACATCCATTTCAGGCTGACCGGGCGTTGTGCCCTAGCAAGATTTCCACCACACAAAGGGATGCAAAGGCATTTAAAGGCAACCTTCTTGCGCTACAAGTGCGAGATATTAATTCACTCAGGAAATCAAGCAGGCCTACCACGAGAAATTGCGGGAGTATCATCCAGACAAGCGGCCAAACAGTCAGGAGGGTCGAGGGAAGAAGGTCACTGCAACTTTGTGCCTTGGCTGATGGCATATTCTTTTTTGGTGAGATCATTGCCTTCATGGTCTCCAAAACCGTTCCCTCAGCCAAAGTACTTGTGCATCGTGTGTGCAAATCCCTTGATTCATTCATGCTTACAGTGCAAAATTATTGCCCATGACACACTGACCTTGCAGAGGTCCCATTGAACACTGTTCCTTTTGTAGTCATCGATTGCATATTACAAAACGAACTTGCAACAAATTTTGCTATCCAAGTCCACCTGCCAAGGAACGAGGCCTGGGAAATATTAAAGGATGACGCACGACGTGAACACTACGACCGCTTGTGGCTTAAGGCAAGGCAGTTTCACAAAAGTGCAGGGCCTGCATATGTTGGAATCTCTGTCCAAATCTTATATAAACTATGGCGTAAACTGCAGACCTTCTTGTTCATACCAACCATGCAAACACCATGAAAGTCACCCACATCCCCTCGCTTGGAAGGTATGAGCAACAGCATTGGGGATGTCAGCGGATCCACATCAACGATGGATGTACTCATGTTCAAATTCCTTTTTGCTTGTGACACCTATGGTGAACCCTGAATCCATCAGACTTTCGTAGCAGCGCTGTCTTGGGTCGGCAGGAGAACAAGCGGAGAACCAACACTCTTGACAATAATATTTTGTAAGCGGCTGTAAGGGATAGTGACGCCAAAAAATGCGTCACCGAACTTTGTAGCGCCTTGCTTGTTTGCATGCTGTGCCCACATTGGAAAATGCACATATAGCTGCCCCATACTAGCCAGAACAGAAGAAAACATTGTTATTGTTTAAGTGGTTGATAGTACTCTAGAGACTGCTGGGAGTCTGTAGGCACTACATTTTTATTCCTTGATGTTCTTTGCAGGCCCGGCCGCCTGCCTTCGCAGTGCCACGGCCGCCGTGCACAGCGGACGAGTGCCGCCGTGCTGGGAATGACCTTTACCGTGCTGCCAATGCGGTGGCTGCAAGACATGAAGCCGACCCAGAAGGAATTACTTTTGGTGCGGAAGGCCACTAAATGCTGGCCACGTCCCGGCTGTAAAAGGAATGGAGCTTTCTTGTGAAATGACTGATGCATTTTGATTTATATGACAAACAGAGTTGCTGCAGACAACATTACTAAGTTATATATGAAAGACTTCATTTGGCATGTCTTCTTCACATACATGAGGGGCATGGCGAAGGTTGCCTTCAGACAGCTGTTGAATTGAATGGCAAGGCATGGGCTGGGCAAAGCAGGTTCTTGAGAAGTACCAAGCCGCCATTGACCTCTACTCTAAAGGTCTCCTGGCATCACTTCAAACCTGAAAGGCAGCACTCGAGCAAGAGAACCCTTGTTCATTTTAAGCAAAGGTCAATTGATGGGGAGAGATCGGTCTAGGGATGATGTGGTTTTTGGTTGTTTTGGAAGGCACACAGTAAAAAACACCATTGGACTCTATTGCTACCCTGCTTGCTTCATACACATGGTTCTGGGAGCACGGACACCTGATTAACACAAACGAGAACACTTGCAAGCTAAAGAGAGCTAGGGAGCTATAGAAGCTGGGAAACCCGAATAGACAGGTCTGGACTTCTCGCCGGATGATCACCGCCTCTTAAACAACCGAGCTCTTTGCTATGCTGCACTGAAGATGTGGTCAAAATGCCAGGACGTTGGACCGCTCCGTGGTGGGCTTTAGAGGGCTCACTCAACTCAATCAAGTCTCAAGTCGAAGCACGGACTTTCAATGCTGTTTTGATGTCAGCAATCCTGAGAGTGGTGATTTCAATTTTACACCAACCTTTCTTTGTGAACGTGTCGCTCCGTCCATTTCTGTAGGAGGATGCCCGAAAGGTGACAGAGGTGAAACCAGATTTCAAGAAGGGCTGATTCTTGTTGGCAAAAGCTTTGTGGAAGGACTGACTGGGCTAATCTTGAGCGGAACATAGACAAGACCTTGAGGGTTGAAAGATCGTACTCATACAGTGATGATGTAAGTGATGCATTTCTCACTGGCAAGACTCCTTTGCATAGTCTAAATCGATCATTGCAAGGATGCCAGCAACTTAAACAAAGTCCAGCGATCTTTTGGTGCATTGGGTTTTGTGGATGCAATCAAGAACTGTCCTCAAAGAGGGTGCTGAGTGCTGAGAGACTGTGGAACGCAAAACATTGGTATTGGTATTTCTTCGTGCAGCGCATTGTGCTTCGACTGCGTGTTTATTGCCACAGGAAGGACAGTTGGCAAGAGCCAAGGAGGAGTTGGAATCGGCGCTGAAGGTTCTTCCTGACTGCGCTGACCTTCACGAGTTGCTGCTGCTTAGCTGCAAGCTTTGAGAAAGAATATAGTTGAATACCGAGTATTTGGGGTGATGTTCCTCCCAACTTCACTCTTCTGCTGCGGAACTAATGGAACTGCCAAATCTTTCTAGTTAAAAAAGACCCACTGTATCTGGAAAAAGACTTGCTGACGACTAGGCATCCGGAAGAAGGTTGTAACTTTTACGACTGCTACGAACACCGATCATTACAAACATGTGGGTGCTCTTTGAATTAGACATTTTGCAGAAGGTGTAGGCTGGAGAGTGAGTGCATCTCAGCTCACATCCCTGTTCTTCAAAGAAAAAAGCTTAGCTGGGTCAGTCTCAAAACGCTTTCCAAGATGCTTTTATATCAAGGTCTACAGTACTGAGCAAACTCTTTCTGTGGCCGAGGATTGAAGTGCAACATTCATTGAATGAGCAGTCCGGCAGAGGCCAGGATTGTTGCAAACACATTGATGTGGGTTTTGTTGTAATACACTGAAGTGTGGGCATCCACTTCCAGATAAATATATAAATAGACATCCATCGATGGAAGGCCTCAGTGGCCTCATTGCTTTCTGTCAGAGTCAGGTGCGATGTTCACTAAACCTAGCGTGGCTCTTGCCTTATAACTACATTTGAAGGACATTCTACGTCCAAAACCAAACCATGCGTTTCTCCACATGGTGGTGCGACCCATTGCGCAAGTAGCCGTTGAAGGTGTTTGGTTGAACTAGGATGGCAAAACACGCACTTGCGAAGTGCAAACTCTGCAAAGACCATAGTGCATACAGGATAAAATGGTCCATGCTATGCTGAGCATATCCAGTGGAAAATTAACATCTTTTGTGCCAAACCAGAAGGAAGGGACCTTCCTCAATACTTGGCTTACCAAATTCAATATTCCTAAAGCGGGAATTTCATGGAGGAACTTGTGAGGAAGCCAGATGGAGCCAACTCTATTATTTTTGTGAACAAGTGATTGCAGCACCTTTGGCCTAAGAATGCTACTC